AAATTCGGTTTACTGATAGTGAATCAAAGCTGCAGGATAAGCTTGTAAACGTTTTAGATAGCTTGCAACCTGCCAAATTTCACTGGCAGTGGGTGGAACTTAGGCTGCTTCTTAATGAACAAGCCCTCATTGAAAAACTTGAGGCACACGACATATCCTTAGCCAATGCTATACAGTTGTCCTCACCTAGTTCAGAGAAGGCTGCTTCTGCTTCTGAAAATGAGAACAACTTTATAGAAATTATACTCACAAGGTTATTGGTCAGACCTGATGCTGCACCCCTTTTCTCAGAGCTGGTTCATCTTTTTGGGAGATCACTGGAGGATTCGATGTTGTTGCAGGCAAAATGGTTTCTTGGTGGTCAAGATGTCCTTTTTGGTCGGAAGACTATAAGACAAAGGCTAAACAATATTGCTGAGAGCAAAGGTCTTTCAGTTAAAACCCAGTTTTGGGAGCCCTGGGGATGGTGTAGTCCTGGTAGTGATCCCTTGACTAATAAAGGGGACAAAAAGAAATTTGATGCTGCTTGTCTTGAAGAAGGAGAAGTTGTTGAAGAGGGAATGGACTTGAAAAGGACCCTAAAAGGGCTCTCACAGGGATCTGATTCAGAAAACTTGAGCATAATTCAGCAGCACGTAACTGAAAGGGCTCTTATTGGGTTGATACTTCCCTGCATTGATCAAATCTCTGAAGAATCTCGCAATTCCTTTGCAAATGATTTGATCAAACAGTTGTATAATATTGAGCAACAAATAACTGCAGTTACTCGTGGGCCAAGTAAACCAGCTGGGAGTACTCTTTCTGGAATTGAAGGTCAAACAAATAAAGTAAATACCCGCAAAAATATAAGAGGCAGCAGCCCTGGGTTGGGGAGACGGCCAACAGCTGCTACAGCATCTGCTACAGATTCTGCCCCACCTTCTCCTGCAGCATTACGTGCTTCAATGTCATTGCGGTTGCAATTACTCATGAGATTTCTTCCTATTCTTTGCACAGACAGGTGATTTATGACTGGGTTTATTATCTACACAGGATTTTCCTATGCTATTTTTGAGATACCTTTCTTTGTTTCCTGGCTTATTACTGCTGTTCTATAGTCTTTTCTATAGCTGAGTGAAATAGAGATAGTCTTGGATGGTGTTCACTATGTTATAAATCTGGCAAATGTCTAGTGATTTGGCCTCCTCTATCTTAGCCCGTTTGCTGTTATAGAAGTGGGGTACCCTTTCTAGGCTTGGTAAATGCAATATGGTTTTTCTAACGTTTTGACAAAATGTCTGCATGCTGCAATATGATGTGTTTGTGCTGTCGTGTTTGCACTGTCAGACTGATGGTTATAGGTTTTCCCTTGATTCATAATGGTTCTGAGAACTTCCTTTTCGGTGTTGGAAATGGTAACTAACTGGCTCGTGTCCTTCTTAATTTTGAAATTATGAAATACTAGTGGCGTACAAAATATCTGTAGTTGGTATAGCTGTCATATTTTAGAATGATGAAATCTGTTTATCTGAGTTTATATATTAAATTTTGCAGGGAGCCATCTGTGCGGAATATGAGAAACTCACTTGCCTCTGTAATTCTTCGTCTTCTTTGTAATCGGGTTGTGCATGAGGATGCTGACATTTCAGTGAATGCCATGCATTCTTCTCTTTTGAAGAAGGAAGTGGAATCACCTTCTGAAGCTGCTTTGGTAGATTTTTCAGTTGATGGTTTGTTTGATCGTTTGTTGTTGGTTTTGCATGCATTGTTGAGTGATTGCCTTCCCAGTTGGCTCAAGTCAAAACCTTCATCAAAGACGATTAATGAGCCTAGCAGGGATTTTTCTGGTTCTGATCGAGAACTACTGGAGACTTTGCAGGTGGATGTTTTAGTATATGAATTTACTGCTTTTGCATTCAGTGGTCATTGTTAAGGCATTTGGGCCATACTTGAGATTGATTTTAATGCTATTTTTAAATTATCATAAAAAACTGCTTGGAAAATGTGAAGAATTTCACAAGAAATTGCTCTGAAAATGTTTTGGGGGGGGGAGCTTAAACTAAAAATATCATGACTCATTGCTCAAGTTACTGTAATATTTGGGTGCTTTTGACCTTAAACTATTGCTGATTGGGGACCAAAATATAGGCAACTTTCAAGGTTTTTTGTGGAATTTGGGAGAAAATAATATTTCTCATTAATAGATAATCCTGAGGACAAGTTGACTATATATATGAGGGAAAATAATTGCTAATAAAGCCTAATAAATTCTGATAAAGGCTATACAATATTTACAATAAATACCAAACATTCCCACACTCTCCTTCAAGTTGGATCATAGATACTAATCATGTCCAATTTACTTATACAATTCTCAAATGAAGGTCCCAGTAGTCCTTTACTCAAAACATCAGCTGCTTGCAATTTTGTAGGCAAATATGTCAAACATAGAATTTCACCTTCCAGTTTTTCTCTGATGAAGTGTTGGTCTATCTCTACATGTTTAGAGCTATCATGTTATACTGGATTTGATGGTGAGCTTGCTCCAACTTGTATTTCGTCCAAGACTTGTTGCAGCCACATTTTGTAAAATAAAATCAACAATGAGGAAACAAAGTATTCCATGATATTACCTCAAGTAGGTTGATGTATATGAGTTGAGGTCTCATGTTCGAGGAAGTTTATGTATTTTCATAATGAACAGTATGAAAGCCACTTAAAATAAATAAATAAACAGTATGAAAGCCAACTGTACCCTTAAAACTTTGTGAAGAACGAACTTTCCTTGTTAATGATTAGTTGCAATACAAGGTTGCTTGAATCAAACAGCAGTACAGCGCATATGGTGGACGGCAGGATTTTCATTTTTAACATTGCTACCATGACTTGGTAATTGCTTAGGAATTTTTTCCCCTCCTCCCAACTGTCTCTGTCTGTTGCCTTTTTTTCTCTCACCTGTATCAGAATCTTTAGATGTTAGTCATATTTGAAGGATGAAGTTAATCAGGTGAAAGTTTTCTTGCGCATCTAATGCTCTGTTGTTGATTGCAGAATGAACTTGATCGTACGCAATTGCCAGACATCATCAGGTGGCGAATCCAAGCTGCTATGCCAGTACTTCTTCCCTCTCTGCGGTGCTCTTTGTCCTGCCAGCCACCATCTGTTCCAATTTCTGCTATTTTTTCTCTCCAACCAGGTGTTGCAAATTCTGGGTTTAATTCCAGCAGTTCAAATGTTCCTCAGAAGAATCTGATTCCCTCATCAAGAAGTGTAGCTAACACTTCAGGGAAGTTGAAACAAGACAATGACTTGGAAGTTGACCCTTGGACACTGTTAGAAGATGGTGCTGGACTAAGCCCTTCTGCCAGTAATACTTCTATCATAGGGAGCGGTGACCATGTTAATCTTCGAGCTGCTTGCTGGCTTAAAGGGGCGATAAGAATGCGACGAACAGATTTAACATACATTGGTGCAGTGGATGATGAGAGTTAATTTGACATGATTTTTAATTGGTTTGGCACTGGAGAAACCCCTCAGGCAGGTGCGCTCGGTGTTCCATTATCTTATGACGCATGCATTACTGGCATGAAGATGCCGATTCGTGCGTTGCCCTTCTCAGCTTGAAGAAGGAAGGTTGAGGAGGTTAGATGATGTGGAAGAAACGGGTAAATTGGTGGGTCCTTTGCTGAAAAGTGAAGGCAATGTTTTTGAGCTGCCCGTTCTGCCTCCGGTCGGTTGACTACTAACCTGTTGATCATCCCCTTCTGACTGCTCTACTGGCACGGTTTGGGAGATTTGATGTATATATAGGGATATGATTTTTTCACTTTTTATCAATTGATCTGGGTAATATATCCTCAAGTGATATCTCTTCTGTTTCGTGCCCATGTCTAGATGCACTCTCATCTGCTGTTGCTTCTTTCTATATTTTTATTATCATTAAAGAATGTGCTTGATTCGGAGCATGAAATGTAGCATTCCTTTGTTCAATGGTAAGTCCTGTGTAATATTTTTGCCCAGAAAACCAAAGAATTATGTTAGCTTATTTCAGTTCCCATTTACGAATTTTTTGGGAGGACTTTATAATCTCAGTACACTTATACTTCCTTTGAGTCCTTTTAATAAAGCCAAATTTATCTACTTAACACAGACCAAGAAAATTAGTTGTTGCTCTTAAATTACCTCATTTTCCCATTAATACACTTGATTGAATGCTTCTCTCATTCGATCTCTAAATTGAAACATTATTACTTTTAAAATATCTTATTGTTTAGATTTTGCAGAAGTCTTAGTAAGAAGGCTAAGATCTTTTAAAAGATTATTTTTATGCAAATGAATGGAAGGGGCATCAAAATCAGATTATCCTTGAATTCTTTTTCAAATCATAATGTCCCATGTAAGGTACTGGGAAGATATAGTCGCGGCGGTTTTCATGAGGAGAAAAGGCAAAGAAAATTATATTATCCTGTTTTTAATAGTAGAGGAAGCTTAATTTTTTTTTAATTTTGGGTTTTTAATATAAGATGAAGTTAGAGCAATTAATGCATTTTCAACTTACTTATTATTTATTTATTGTTATTTGAATTCCAAAAATACAATTTATTATAATTATTAATTGCAAATAAGGATAAAATTAAAAAATTTTAAGAATATAACTCCCATTTCTTAAATAAATATGAAGTTGATTAATTTCGTTTTATATTAATGGAGCAGAGTAGTATAGCAAAATCTTTTGTTTCTAAACAAGTCAGCCTGGTAACTAAACGTGCTCATTTTATTTTGGACCAACGGTCATTAGATTTCTGCAAAGCTGCGTACGTACAACATAAAAAATACAAGAAATATTTTAGCCCTTCATAATTTTCTTTGGATGGAGTAAATTACATGAGACAATATTTTTAAAAACAACACATTTTAAAAAGATAACTGAGAAATTAATTTTCTATTTTTTTTAAAAACTAATAATTTAACTACCCCTCTTTTAGTTCAAGGTAAGGTAACATGTATAGAACCAAAGGGAGTATTCTAGAGTAAACTCATTAATAAATATAAAGCCTTTGAGTTCATCAAACACAAATTCCATAACAGAAGCAAGATCATTCTAAGCAGATTCGGGGAGAGTTGAGTAAAAAAAAGAGAGAGAAAGATAATACAAGTTGGGCAAACCGAATTGGTAATATGTTTTATTGATCAAGCAGTGGGATATGGCAGCTTTGGGCACACACCAATCAGACTCGGAAGGTTATATGTATTGTTGTTCAAGCAGCTCCTAGTTCCCTGTTGAGGTAGTCAATAAACATTCTCTTTGCACTATCCGCATCTGAAGGAGGAGGTGGTCCGCTTAAACTTGTTTGCCCTGTCAACTTAATGAAGGTACGTCGCATTCTCCGAAGCTCCGGCAGCCCAACTGATTTGGATATATTGATCGCAGGCAGGTCCTTCCCTACAGAAATCCCATTCATAGGCCCACCTAGAGCCTGGGATTGAGCTTCTACTATGGCATTGGTGACCTCCTGAGTTGCTTTATCCAGCTCGTAAAGAGAATTAGCATCAGAAAAGCGTGTGTTTTGAGTTGCAATAGTTGGCTGTAAAATCTTAACATCTCGGGTTTTGGAGTCCACCGTTTTGGTTATGTAGGATAGAGCATCTCTAATGGCCGGAGAAGATTTTTCTATCCCATCCCTATGTGGCCATAACTCATACAAAGGCGAGTCCCAACGATTTCTTCTGTCTGGTTTCTCAAACCTTCTAACCAAATCTTCAAAGATTGTATCATCATAAGCAGCTTCCCCTTTCTCCCTACGTTCTACATTCCATTTCCTACACTGGGTTTCTTCAACATCACAATACAACACACAGTATCTAATGCCTGTTGCACGAGCCAAACACCATAGCTCATATCGATAACCTTTGATGTTATTCAAAGAATCTACTATAATGATGTTATCTTTTGACACTGACCTATCTACTTCCGACCTGAGAACACCTCTTAAATTCTTCTCTGCAGGCATATTGGCATAACTTTGATTCCGATCAAGATGGAAAAAAGCTTCATCTATGACCCTCATTTGCAGTTTTGATTCTGATTCTTCGAAGGCTTCGGCTAGACATAGTGCAGCTTTAGTCTTCCCACTGCATGGCTGCCCACATATCACAACCAATGCCATTTGGGAAAAGTTTGAGTGTTATACCAAGGAAGCAATAAAATTTGACTTTATGAGCAATATCTGCAAGAAATTGAGGGAAGATGAACGAGTTGTCAGGAGAATGATAATCATGAACCATTGGAAATTAAATTAAAGTTACAAAAATTACACAATTGTTCTTGTGATTCAAATTGATTCAATGGCAACTTGTCACAGTAATTTTGACACAGAATTTTGCACAGAGACACAAGCAATATACAAACCAGGACTACAAGCTGTGCAATAATTTTAACACACAGTTTTACAGAGAAAATAGCCTTTGGCATTATTTTAAGCCTAAAACCAAATCATAAGTAATGCATCATTTTAAAACAGAGAATTGGTAACAGAAGCATGGATGTATGCTGCACTTTTACAACCAAAACAGAATCAACAAGTATTCAGCAGCATATATGCAGAAACATGGATACATGATCGATTAACAGTATAATGTAGAGAATTTGTGCAAATACATGGATATATGCAGCCCTTCCAGTATGAAAGTCATGGAGCAACAAAAATGTAGAACTTTGCATCAACATAGGCATATAACACTTCTAGGTCCAAAACAGAAACACAGCATGTGAAGCAATTAAATTGAAGATTGTTGCACTAAAACATGGATCCATGTGATACATTTAGCTCGAAAGCAGAATGAAAGCATATGAAGCAATCTAAAAGCATGATTTTGCACAAAAACATAGATAAATGCAGCATTTTTAAGTACAAATCAGAGATACATAATATAAAGTCATTAAAATGCAGAAAATTTGTGCAGAAATTTGGCCACACACAGCAAGAACTAGGGCTCATGAATTGGAATTTGGAAGCGAATTTTGAATAATGTTCCCATGTTATCAATTCAAGCCTGAAACTTGACAAACCAAAAAACCCATTCCTCAGACATACGCAGAACAATACTGCCACAATTGTCCAGAATCAAAACCATATCACTGACAGCGCCTTGAAGCAGTAGAGAAGAGAAGATCGACAGGGACAGGGTATTAGAGAAGAGAAGATGCCGACTTGCCGTCTAGTTATCGCAGAAGAGAAGACGAGGAGTCGAGGACGATGGACGACGCCGACTGGGTGTGGACGAACCCAAGAAGAGAAGACGATCGAGGACGGTCGACGATATTGCGTGACTGATAGACGAAGAACTTGCCGACAGGGTATTGTGTGATACTAACCGACACGGTACTGTGGGAGTTGTGATTGCGAGTTCGAGACCGATGGCCAACTGGGTGTTTCCGTATTTTACATCACACTTTAATAAATATTAAAATTCAAATATGATATAAAATACAGAAAGTTATATGATATAAAAAGGAGACTTACATCATCTAAAAAAAAAAAAGGAAGGATTTAAATTTTAAATAAGAGAAAACAATTTAAATTTTGAATAAGAGAAAAATGTTAATTTATTACAAAAAATTATCTTTGATTGAAATTTTAAATATGATTGAAAAATTTTTGCCATCCAAAGGAAAAAATTTATATGACAATTTTATTATAATTTTTTTTTCGTATGACACAATTCTATATGAAGGTTAAATAAATTTATATTTATTATTTTATTTATGATTTATTGTTTATTGATTATGCATTTTTATACGATAACACCTTGCTTCACATGTACTTGCCTTTATATTACCTTGCGTTAAATGCATTTTACGAGCTTTGTACTTTTATCTTTAACAATACCTGTGAACAAAAAAATAAAAAATCTTTGTTCCTTATCATAGTGTTTGGTTGGAGGGAGGAAAAAATTTAAAAAAAATCTCCTCTTTCCTTCATCCTTGCCAAACAAGGGGAGGAAACTCTTCTCTTCCTTCCTCTCACTTTGAACCAAATAGGGATACATGTTAATAAATTCATTTGTGGAAAAAGTTTCACTTAGTAATGTCCTTTGATGTTCTTCTGCTTGACTTCTAAAAACCAGAATCACGCCATGTTGAAACAAAAAGGAAAGCATTTCAAGATCTAAATAGATTTGCAACCTCAAGTTTCCAACCAAAAATGACGCTGAATGTCATGCCAGAAATCATTGAGAGTTAAACATCAAGTAGACAAATTACAGCTAGTAAAAACAAATGTCAAATCAGAATCCTAATCAAAGCTATAATAGAAAGGGCTAATTGTTGGTCGTACAGGACAAGGTTAAATTAAGCGGAAACGTATTTTTTGGTTTTTATGATTCATTCAATTTTATTTTTAGTTCTTATAGTTTTTTTCTAGTGTTTTGAATTTTTATAATTTTAGAAAAATTGAGTGACTTTTGTTTTTTATATTCTTATAATTTTTATTTTTTCAGTGGTTTTAATCCCTATAAGAACTAAAATCATTAAAAAAAAATTACAAGGGCTAAAAACAAAACTCAATAGATTTATAAGGATCAAAAATTATGTTTCTCTTAAATTAAAGCCTAACAATGCTCAAGCCACTACCACTTGAAATAATCAATGTTTGGACAAGTTAAAAGCTTAAAATTTCAAATCAAAACAAAACCAAGCTTAACTGGATGCCATGATTTTGCAACGACAACTAACTAAACCGTGTTAAAGATATCAGGAAACAGCAAGTCATTGAGCCAGACCAGCAAGTTCTAACAATGATAAGTTTAAACCAATGGTCAAACGAGTGGAGTAATCCCAATTGACGCCAATTACAAAGAAATTTAATCACAACGGGAGGCGACTCAAATAATCAGTTTCAAAACATCTTCCAAAACTTGGTAATACCAGAATAAGAGAATCAGAAGAGGCACATTCCATCATTTAATCCTGTGCATGAAGGAGGGAAAAAAAACTAAAAATTCAATTTGCAAGAGAAAAAACAGCCATTGGAAGCATGTTGAGAAGAATCAAGGTAGAAGAGGTTATCTCTTTGTGCTCCACTTCTTGGAGTTGATTTCTTCTTCCATATTCTCCATTCTTTTCGACTTTTACCTTTGCTTCTCAATTCTCTTTCTCTTCCCCCACACACTCTCCTCCTCCTCCAGCCTCTACCTTTGCGAGGAAGTCTGTGTTGCTTTTCAATTAAACGCAATGTAAGTTTGCGTTTCCACTAGCTTTCTTGTTCAAATATTAGCTTGTTTTGATTTAATTAAGAAAATTATTAAACATATAAGATTAACAACTCAAATTCGTCCCTTTTTACAACTATTTATAATTTATGAATAGAATTTTTTTATAATTTTATATTATGGCTTTCTTAAAAAATTTTCCTTCCCTTCTCATTAGAATTGTAAAATTAAAAAACAAATTATTCATTTAATTTAATTAATTAAATTCAATTTTGTTAAATAATCAGGAAATTTTATTTTTTACTTGTTAAATAAAATATTTTTATTAATGAATAAAATAAATATTTTTATTAATTAAATAAAATATTTTTCCTTCTCCTTCAAACTTTGTGAGCAAGTCTCTACTGCGCTTTCATATCTGCATTTCCGCTCGTTCTTTTTTTTTTTGTTTTTTCATGTATTCACTTGTCTTGATACAATTAAAAAATATTATTAAATATATAAGATTAACTATTTAAATTTTTCCCTTTTTACAAATATTTATAATTTCTGAATAGAATATTTTTTACATTTTTATATTATAACTTTCTTAAAAAAATTTCCTTCACTTCTCATTTGAGATTTGAAATTAAAAAAACAAATTATTCATCTAATTTAATTAATTAAATTAAATTTTCTTAAATGGCTTATTGAAGGGTGGATCTTTATAATCCAGAAATTTTATTTAGTATTTTTTAAATAAAATATTTTTATTAATGAATAAAAATAAATAATTTAAAGTATTTTTACTAATTAAATAAAATATTCTTCTGTTTCCTTCAATCTTTAGGGCATCAATACTTTATGAATCATTATTTATATCTAGCTCTTTTTTTATATATACATATTGAATCCTAATTATTATTTTTATTCTCGTACCACAGTTTGTTTTTATGCCACTGTTGAAACTTTTATACTACTAGTTAAGCTTTGATGCCATTTACAAAATTTGTAATTCTGATCCACCAGATGCCACTAGATTCCATTAATTCTAATCCTCCCAATATATTTTGTCATCAATTTCCCATTGTACAAGGGTGCTTCAGTTGATTGTTGGGAAGGCACGTTACTGCCATCTCTTCCCAATTCCTTAACTTTTATAAGTGAAATAATGCGAAAATATAAAGTAATGTTTATTCTTAAAAAAATATCACAGTATTAATTTATAATTTCAATAAGTAAGTAAATGTTTCTATAAAATATCATTAATGAACTAAATATAGTTCCCCATCCCTGCTACTCGTGAGCGTTGATAAGGATCTACCACAAAAAAGTAATTCAAGTTTAAAATAAGTATATTTAATAAGTGCAACTTGAAGAGACAATTTAAATAAATTAAAATTCCAGATGAATATGGAATTAGTGCCTAATCTATTATTGAATTTGAAAATGTAAAATCAAAATTAGAATGGACAAAAAACAAATATTAAACGTGAACCACGTTTTCAATTGTTTTTATTTTCAACTTTTTGGACCGAACAATCTTTTTAATTGTTGAATGAAGTATGAAATGTGATTTTAAACAAACTTAACCTAATACTCCCTTCACTCCAAATTATAAGACATTTTTAAGAGAGTTTGGTATCTCAAAATATAAGACCTTTTAGAAAATTAATATTTCATTAAATAAGTTTATTCTAATATTATGCTTTCTCTTTCTATTTAATTTTTGTCCCTCCCACTTTTCAATTTATTAAATTAAAGGTATTTTTAAAAGTTTATATTTTTATTTTTTAAAAATAAAATTTTTAATTATATTTAATGAGATTTATTAATATGTAAATTTTTTTAAAAAGTATTTTATAATTTAGGATGAAGGGAGTATTATATTATACAAGTCTATCAGCTTTTACAACTTTTTTTTGGAAATAGAATTATTTGTGGAGATCAGTATAATGCCAGCAGGTATTTATTCCTTGACTGGTTATGTTTTTGATTTTTTTTTTTTTTTCATGAGCTCTGATATCCCAGGTCTTTAATCCAGATTAATCTGATCGGTAATTTGCAGCTTGTATTTAAGAACATGCCTCCTTATTTCTCAACTAAATTATACACTCATGTATAAAAACTTAAAATCAATTAATATTTACCGACCAAAAAATAAAATAATACTAAAATATAAATTTCAAAAATATTTTTTAGTCGTTTCTATTTTCAATAAAAAAAATCAAAATTATGGAGTTTTGAAAAAATTGTGTATAATTTTCTAATAAAAATAGGACTGTAATTGTTCAAACATGTCTCAGCAAGGAAAGTAATAATTTACTCTATCGTGATATATCTTTGGTTTAATCAAACCCAAACTATCCATGCTATAGCTTAAAAATCCACTTAAAAACTGCAACCTGATTCCAACAGATTGATAAAGTTAAAATACAAGCTTAGAATCTAATCGTTTCTCATGAATTATCATACCTAATTATATATCACATGCTCTCTTCTCACATGACCAACTCCTTGAAGTTCCTTGGATTACATATATTTAGGAGTGTTCACGGGACGGGACGGGACCGGGATACCCCCGTCCCGTGTCCCTTCCCGAAAAAAAGATCGGGACTGAATTTTGGTCCCGTGTCCCGTCCCGTCCCGTTAAGAGTCGGGACGGGACCGGGACAAGATCAGGACGTCCCGCCGTCCCGATAAATAGAATAATATCGAAAAAAGATTTAGATAATAACATTCATATAATAATTTAAAATTAATTATTGAATTATATTAATCATAACTACATATTATAATAACAAATGCAAGTGATCTTTATGCTATAAGATTAACAACAACAGGCAAGTCAAACATAACATCAAATCATTATTCTTCTACTTTAGTGAAGATGTACTAAGCTAATTACTCTTCTAAAAATAAGCAAGAAATATGTTATAAATAAAGGTTATTAAATAGATAGATATAAGAATAAATTATATTAATATAATTAATATATTATAAATAAAGATATCATCATATTTACTCCATGCCATTAAAATTATTAATATACAAAAACTTTAGTTTTAAATAAGAATTGCAAGTATTAAAATTATAATTGATATAATTAATATAAGTATAAATTATATTAATATAATTAATATATTTAAAATAAAAAATAATATATATAATATTCGGGATGGGACGGGACGTCCCGATGGTAATCCCGTGTCCCGTCCCGTCCCGAA